CCAGCCTTCTGATTAGCAGTCAAGTGCCTTATGCACTATGCCACCAGAGCTCCCATATAGCTGATATAGGTTGTCATTTCTGCAAGAGATTGATTATTACAAGCGCTGAGAAGCACTACTCCAAAAAGTTTATATTCACAGGGATCATTATTGTCCATCTCTGAACATATCCTCACTCATCCGTCTGCCACGTCCAAATTATGAAATCCTGAAGGACAGAGCTTGTCTACAACTCTGCATTTCTAGTATCTAGTGCAATATCAACTGAGATGTTTAATGAATACTGAAGGATCCTCTCAATAAAAAAGCTGTATTGGTATTTTTATTGTGGGTGTGCCTTTCACACGTTCAACCCCTCTGTTCTCTAATTATCCATATGTATTCATAGTAATCCAGGCTCTGGTAGTGTCTCCCTTAAACTATTATTCACATATTTCTTACAAGCCAAATTCTTCACTCTATATTTCTTACTAGCTACAAAAGTTATCTTTCTAGTTTGTTCATTCTCTATTTTATTGCCCTTCACCAAGGCCTGCAATGACTGGTAGTTGGTTGTTTTTTTTTTTTTTTTTGTAATAATGAAAACACTATCATATGAGTTATAACAATATTCAAAATACAATTTAGTGTTAACATGCAAGAAAAGATCAGAAGACACTGTACAGATGTTGAAAGCTTCTTTCATAGTTTTTCTCTACAATCCAAGTTTTCCTTACATTGGAAGAACTAAGAAATACTGTATTTCCCAAATACATTATGCAACCAGACAGAAAAACACTTTGCACTATTTTTATGTTAAAAGTACACTGCCAATACTATGTAAAACTTACTTTCAATTAAGTATTTTAATACTATACCTGCTTTTTCTTCACAGCATCTTGATACTCAAGAAACTGAGCAAATGATTCAGATTCAACAGAACTTCTTTCTCCAGTGATTGATGGAGGTTTTAGGATTCCAGAAGCAATTAACCGAAATCGGTTCTGCTCATGTATATATTCTGGCTGCTTATGATCTTGGTAGACTTTTAGCACTGGCTTTGGAGAAAAAAGAGATATGTTAACCTTTTTCACATGAAACTAATTTGTAAATGTGTCTTATTTTATTTATTATCTTCAGACATTAATTCTTGTTTGAAATTCATCTTCTCCTGGGGCTAATTTCCTATCCAAGGCACAATGCCAGCAGCAGCTACCATCATTGTCTGCCCCAACCTATTGTCTAAGACTTTTCTACCTGGTTTCCATTCATTTAATACCTTAAATGACCAATGAATGCTGCTAGGAGGAGAGTCATGACAAAAAAAAAAAAAAAAAAGTTCAGAGGCATGAGGTCATATAACCATTAATTGTCTATTACAAACACTCACCATTTACCAGCACTGCTACTGTGGAAAGAAGCATGTAACCCTTCCACCTACCTAAAAGTAATCATTCATTTCCCATAGCCATAAAAGATTGAGGATCTAAGATGGTGGCACTATCCTAGGCTAATCTAACTTCAAACTAAGGCAACACTACTAGAAGCCATACAAACTGAGTTTTTAACATAATACACTAAAGCAAGCAATTCACTAGAATGGCTGTTAGTTTCTAAGCATTATAAATTCACCATGATAGTCAATCTCTTATATACTAGAGTGAGAAAAAATGCTTGAGTGTGCAAGAGAAAGCAAAAATAGGTATTAAGTTTCTAGATACAAGTAAACCACATTTGGTTTTGGATACAAATCCTCTTGAACTATTCATGAAAGAAAAGCAAAGACTAGCTGGTACAGAGATGGAGGAGACTTCAGCTATACAATGGTGTTAAAAAGGAATGGAGACTAGAATCACAAGTTAAGAAAAGGAAAAAGAAGCAATGTTGGTTTAGTTAGAATGACTAAAAAGGAACCAAATAATAATATGCAAAAATGACAGAAAGATAACTGAACATTTACAAAACCCTTTCCTGAAGCCTAATGAATATGTATAAGAAACTTAAAAGAAATTAAGACGCTAAAAATATGTCACTACTAGGTATAATTAGGAATATGGTAAAGAAACACTGGAGGTGTAATACATAGCTACTTCCATCTCATACACTGAAAACACAATGCAGAATAACAGATTGCCTTCAAATTTGTGAAATATAGTTGACTTCTCAACAGCAATAGTGGAAATCAGAAAAAAGTGGACTGAAATTCTCAATCTAGAATTCTACGCCCTGTAAAAATATCTTTCAGGAATTGAGGTAATAAAGATATTTTCACACCAGGAAAAAATGATAGACTCTATTACCAGTACAATCATAATCAAATAAATTTTAAAGGATTTTTTTCAGGCAGTAGGAAAGAAATGCAGTAAGAAATGAAAAGCAATAAATACCGGCCAACTCCCTGCCCCCAAAATCAGCTGAATAGAGGGTAATAATAATGTCTTGTGGAGTTTGAAATATAGAAATAAAATAGATGACAAATGGCATATAAGGAGGAAGGTAAAGTTATTAACATTGGGTTTGATAACTTTAAGACACATGTTGTAATTTCTAGAGTAACTACCAACATAATAGCAAAAGAGTGTATAAATTGCAACTTGTAGTTTTAAAAAAAGGAACTAAAAAGTATTCAACTCAAAGAATACGATAAAATACAGAAAAGAAACAAAGAACAGGTTGGACAGTTAGAAAGCAAAAAATAGGGGTGGAAGGTTTAGCCTAAATATCTCAATAATTATAATAAACGTAAATATGCTAAATGTCCCAGTTGAAAGACAAGGATCATTAGCTCAGACTGAAAAAACAAATCCTACCCATGTTGTTGTTGTTGTTATGTGCCATCAAGTCTGATCTGACTCACAGTGACCCCTCCTTGGGTTTCCGAGGGGGTATCACTACGAAAGTAGATTGCCCAACCTTCCTTCTGAGGAGTGGCTGGTGGGTTTGAACCACCAGCCTTCTGGTTAGCAGTCAAGTGCCCTAGGCACTACACTACCAGAGCTCCCATACCAAGTTATATTTCCATACAATAATAATAATAACTACCACTATTGAGTCTTTGCTACTTGCCAAGCACTGTGCCACGTATTTTACATAGATAACCTAATGTAGAATTAGTGGTGGGCATACAGTAAGTACTTAGTTATCTATGCCTATCATGCAATGACTATATTGTGATAAAGTAGGTAAAGAACAGCCACCAAAATGAGGGAGAAAGGAAAGAGTACTTGGGAAGTACAAACACTAACTCATTACCTTTTAGTAGGGATTCTTAAACATGAACAATTTTGCCCTATTGATAGGTATTTGCCAATGTCTGGAGACAGTTTTGATTGACACAACCAGGGAAATGCTACTGGTATCATCTAATAGGCAGAAGTTAAGGATGATGATAAACTTCCTACCAGGCACAGGACAGCCCCCACAACAAATAATTACCTGGTCCAAAATTTCAGTAGTGCCAAGATTGAGA